TCATGGAAGATAGTGCCACCCTAATTGTGTTGCTGATGTTAGGTTTACTCTGTTAGCTCAATTTGATTACTGTCTGTGCAGAAAACCCTGTTGGGATTGAAAGCAGAGTTTTCAGTGTTTTTATGGCAATTTCAGGATATCCTGCCTTGACTTTAACCCAGAATGCATAGAGATTTGAAGTTGTCTCAAACATACTTTTAAGGTCACCATCATTTGCATTCTTAAACAACTGATCATTTCCTAGAACAGACATAGCCAGTTCACCTGGCTTGTTCACAAATCAGTTATGCATCCATTCCTTCCCAATTTTGGTATCTTCTGTTGTTTGGGAAGCACTGCTCAAAGCTGGGTTAGGTGATTGTACACCAGCTGGGAGAAAGAAGGCTCCATCACAGTCTTTTAAAATCTTTGCCAGTGTTTGAAAAATGCCAGAAGTCCTAGGGATCACTCACTGTACCCATAATGTCAGGTTGGCTTTGAATGCAGCCACCTTAGTTGCTGACTTGAACACACTTTTTATTCTCCCCAGAAGTGACAAATTGAGTTTGTTGAGTAGGTGGGATGTGTCACATGCATAAGCAAGTTTAGTGACTCATTCTCTGTCACTAAAATGTGTTGCTGGTGGTGACTGTTTTTCTAAAATCTCTGGAGTGATTCTCATAACTCTGAAACTCTGGCCAGTTATTTACCTGTAGAAAGCCATCTCTCTTTTGTAAGGTGTCATATCTGTGAATAGAAGATGTGAGTGCTCTGTTCTCATCTCCTTATAGATCTGCAGTTAAGGGCATGTGTGTTAATGTAGTTTATAATTTTAATCACATCTTGCAAAATGTTAAGTTCATGTGACATTTTTCAGCTAGCCAGCATGTCTCTATGGATAACATACTTCATAGATTGACATTCAGAAGCAACCTTTTCGACCTGAGTACTGAAACAAAAAAAAAGTCATCTGGTCATGGCAGCCTCTCTCTCTCTCTCTCTCTCTCTCTCTCTCTCTCTCTCTCTCTCTCTCTGTCTGTCT